AAAGTCTTTGTAAATAGGGAGGGGTGTAGGGGTTGAACGGAGGGCAGGGGAATGGGGGAAAAAGTAAGAACCAAGCTGTATTATGTAAGGGTACAAATTCCCAATAATGAATGTTAGCATATTGTATACCTAAAGTATACCAATGAAATTAATGAAAAAAAAAGAATATATGGAGCTTAAAAATGTTTTACATTTCTGTCCTCTAACACCAAGTTGTGAAACTTTAAACCAATGACTTTTTTCCCTTGTATAAATTTATTCCAAGGAAATAATTAATAAGTAAAAAAGGCTAAAAGCCTGGGTCTCTGAATCTCAGAACGTATATCCAGAAGTTATTTTTTCCTGTGATTCTCTCATCTCTGCTCTGAAGCTGGTATAAGAGATCTCAAATTAGATTGGATTTCTCTTTTTTTTCTTTTCTTTTCTTTGTTTGGGTTTTTTTTTTTTTTGGTATGGGGGATCGAACTCAGGACCTTGCCCTTGCGCGGCAGGCACTGGAACCACTGAGCTAAATCCCCGGCCCTCTTTTCTTTTTCTTTTCCTTCCTTCCTTCCTTCCTTCCTTCCTTCCTTCCCTCCTTTCTTTCCTTCTTTCCTTTCCTTTCACAGATGGGCTCTCACTTAAGTTGCTTAGGTTAATCTTGAACTTCTGGGCTCACATGATCTGATTGCCTCAGCCTCCTAAGGGATGCAGCTGCCTCATTCAGCTGAGTTTGAGCTTTCTTGACAAGGCTACATTCAGAAACGCGGGTTCTTTTGTTAGTTCACACATTCGTTCATGTTAAAGCTGGAGCCTTCAGTGTAGACTCCAAAATCTGTTTCTCTGTCTCTGGGTCCACATCATCTATGAAAGTTTGGAATTTCTGAAATTCTAACCAGCACTATTGGGGTCCTGGGCTAAAATTGACAAGCAAGGGTCATGGATTCATTTATAGTCTCCATGGAAGATCTACAAATACAAGAGACCCTCTCAAAATAACTACAAATGGAAATTTACTCAGCATTCATGGCTCAAATATTTCAAAAGGAAGTATATCTGTACTAGTTACCTTTCCTGAGAAACAGCCTGAAGAAGAAAAGGTTTATTTTGGCTCACAGTTTTAGGGTTTCAGTGCATGGTTGGCTGGCTCCAGCAGAGTAATGGAAGAAGCAAGAAAGGGGCAAGCATCAGAAATATTCACCAGGGTCACACCCTCACGCCCCACGCAGTCACATCCAGATGTGTGTTTTACTAATCTCCTAGATATCTTTCAAACCAATCAAATTGGCAATCAAGATTAACCACAACACCCAACTCTGTTATCCAGGAGTGCTATGTTGTAAAACAGGAATGTCATTTTGTAAAAAACAAACAAACCTCATCTGGGTTTGAATCTTCGTTCTTTTACTTGCTAAACTGTGCGAGTCTAGGCAAGTAATTTCACTTCTTTCTGCTTCAGGTACTTAATATGCAAAATGGTGAGAGAATTACTTCGGATGATTGCAGACGATTACCCGATGCAGGCTTCTACACCGTAGCCCTTACCTACAAGAGCAGGAATGCAAAATGAGCTTGTCCCACTCACACCCGGGCTGTAAGAATCTACACAGTGTCAGCCGGCGCCCTACGCTGCTTTCTCTGAACTACTCGTGTTGGACAAGACCAACACATTCAAACACACGTGGGGTAAACCCACTTGGGGGCTGTACAGTTTAATCTTCCATAGGGTAAACCCACAAGCTGCCTCTCTCCGTTCTCTCCGTAGTTCCCTTGCGAGTCCTGCAAAGCCAAACCATACCTGCCACTTTTTCACCGCCACGTTCTCCGCTCTTAAGTCCAGGATCGGGTTACAGCGTCCTACAGAGACTAGGGAAACAATTCAAACACCACACTTCACAGGTGGCAGTAGATAATACTTAATACCGGTTACTGTCCCACTGCGCGTGTGCGGAACTAACTACTCACCTACAGTTCCCAGGCTCCTTCGGAGTGAAGGACATCCATCGGAGACCACATTTCCCATAAGGCCCCTGGAGCTTGTTTCCGGATAACCTCCGATAATTCTTCCTCTTTTGAGAGACATTATTGTCGCTAACCGTAGGGTTGCTCAGAGGCAAGTTTATTTTACAAAAGGGGATTTTACATACTGTATCATTTCATTTTTTAAAAAAATAGACTTTTGGGCCGGGGATTTAGCTCAGTGGTTCCGTCGCCTGCCTCACAAGCGCAAGGTCCCGAGTTCAGTCCCCAGTACCAAAAAAAAAAAAAAAAACAAAAACAAGACTTTGGGATTTTTAAATAATGGAAAGTCGAAATCAGCAGTATGCTAAAAGAATAGTTTATTTTTTGTTCAGTGTCTTCTAGCAGTGCACTTAGGCGGTGGAGACAAAGAAGATCCAAAGAAGACTGAAAACTACAAATTGAGGAGCTAAGGATGTAATTTAGTGATAGAGCGCTAGCCTAGCATGTGGTATGACTCTGGGCCCAACACCCAAGCAAAGGGAAAAAGAAAAGAAAAATGGAATAATCAGTATAGTAAATGGAAAAGCAGAAGACATTTGTCTCAGCAAAGCCAAGGCTGTGTTTAGGTCACTAGTGCTGTTGAAATGTTCTGTCTAGGCAGAGTGGTGGAAGTTTGATAAATTCTGATGAGAGTTTGATAAAAGTGAAAAGGAAGAATGGAAGAAGATTAAGAGAATGTAGATACAAACAATTCTTTTGTTACTGGTTCATTTTAGATATACATAATGATGACGTTCATCATAGGGAACTTGTACCTATATATGATATAGCTTACTTCTTTTTTTTCCTCCTGCATTCCTCTCCATTTCCTTCAACCCCCTATTTCCCTCCTTATTTACCAAAGCTTTGTTTCCATTTTTCCCCTTTTCTTTTTCTTCCTTTCTTTCTTCTGTTTACCTTGTTCCCGATCTCATTTTAACAATTTTCTTCCCATTTCCCAATATCTATTATACCTTTTGGTCCTTATTTCCAGTTTCAGTTTCTCACACCAGAGAAATGAGTTATTTAAACATATGTGTCTGATTATTTCACTTAAGAGTGTGGTCTCAAGGTGCATCCATTTAGCTAGAGATGTCTCAGGCTTATCCTTCTTTGTGGCAGAGTAGTACTCCTTTGTATAAAAAATTCACATTTTCTTTATCCATTCATCAGTTCATGGGCATTTGGGCTGTTTCCAAGATTTAGCTATTACACACTGTACCATCATAAACATGGGTGTGCATATATTACTGTGGTATGATTCTTTTAATTCTTTTGGGAAGATACCAAGAAGAGGAATACCTGGGTCAAATGGAACCTCTACTTTTAGTTTTTTGTGAGGGTTCACACTGATTTTCACAGTAGTTGCACCACACTATACTCCCACCAAGAGTGGAAAAGAGTTCCTTTTTCCCCACAGCCTATCCAGTGTTGGTTATTGGTTGATTTCTAGATAATAGCCATTCTTTCTGGAGTGCTATGAAATCTCAGCATTGTTTTAATTTGCATCTCTTGAATGACCAGTGATATTGAACATTTTTTCATGTATTAATTTGCTGTTTCTAGTTCTTCATCTGAGAAATGTTTAGTCATTTCAGATGCCCATTTTTTGGATTGGGTCTTTACATCTAGGGGGTCTGGTTTTTTATATATTCTTCATATTACTCCTTTGTTTGAGGAACAGCTGGCAAAAATTTTTTCCCACACTGTGGGTTGTCTCTTCACTCTGTTGATCGTTTCTTTTGCTATGCAAAAGCTTTTTAATAAGATGTGATCCTGTTGTTGCTTCTTTGTGATAGTTCCTGTGTGATCAGAGTTTTTTTCATAGTCTTTGCCAACACCAATGTTTTCTTTTTTTTTGGTACCAGGGATTGAACTCAGGACCTTGCACTTGCAAGGCAGGCACCCGAACCACTGAGCTAAATCCCCAGCTCCCAACACCAATGTTTTCAATAGTTCGATCTATTCTGTCTTCCAGTAGATTTAGTGTTTCTGTTTTTATATTTAGATCTTTGATCCATTTCTATTTTACTTTAGTGTATGGTGATGTTCCATCACGGAAAGAAATGCACGGAGACACAGAATTTGGGTAAAATAACAAAGGCTTTACTTGCAAGCAGGTGGGACCATCAGAAACTGGTCTGGTCAGTGTCCGTGCACCCTTTGTTCAGCGTTTCCTTTTTATATCCTTTTTAGCCATTATCTCATCCCTAGTGGTCTTTGCTGAGCAAACAAAATTCCAGTTTCTGCTTAATGGTTAGACACAGGTGGTTTCTATCACTGATTACAGGCACAAACACATGACAGTTAAAGCACATATATCACAAATTTACCCAAGTTTTGCAACTTTGTTTTTAAGACGTTATCTGAAGGAGGGCTACAAGGGAAAAGAGTCATATATCACTTTAAACAACCAGAGCAAAGGGCTTAGGCAAGTTTTAAAGGGATACATTACCTATTTTGCTTTAATAACTACCTTAATAGTCTACTAAGCTACCTAAAACTTTTCTCTATCAGTGAAAGATATGGGTCTAGTTTTAATCTTTGGTATGTGGAAAGCCAGTTTTTCCAGCATCATTTATTAAAGAGGCTATCTTTCTTCCAGTGAAGGTGTTTGGCTCCTTTGTCAAAGATATGGTGGCTGAGTGTGTTTGAGTTGTTTCTACGTCTTCTAGTCTGTTCCACTGATCCTTGGGTCTGTTTTTTTTCTGCCAGACTATGGTTTTTTTAAAAAATCACAGTAGCTTTGTAGTACAATTTCAAAGCTACTTGTGATGCCCCTCCCTTACATTTGTTGCTTTGTTGTTCAAAATTGATTTGGCTATTGTAGGTTTCTTCTGGTTCCAAATGAATTTTAGGGTTGTTTTTTCTAATTCTGGGAGATATGCTATTGGGATTTTGATTGGGATTGCATTGAATCTGTACAACAATTTTGGAAGTATGGCCATTTTCACTATATTGGTTCTTCCTGTCCAAGAACATGAGATGTCTTTCCATTTTCTGATATCCTCTTCAATCTCCTCTTTCAAAGTACTGTAGTTTTCAATGTAGAGGTCTTTTACTTCCTTCATTAGATTGATTCCTAGGTATTTCATTTTTTTGGATGCTATTGTGAAAGGGATTGTTTATCTAATTTTCCTGTGAGTCTGCTATTTGTGTACAGGAAGGCTATTGACTTTTGAGTATTGAATTTTTTTTTTTTTTTTTGGTACCGGGGATCAAACTTGGGTCCTTGCACTTGCAAGGCAGGCAGCAGAACCACTGAGCTAAATCCCCAGCCCTCTGTCTCCTTTGAGTTTCATTTTCTCTTCTTTTTTCAATTTAAGATGAAAGGTAGGAGCAGTGTGATGTGTGAAATACATGTTACAATGTTATCACATCCACATTATTACAAGGCAACCAGAAATTTTCAGGTCATAAGCTTATGGGTGTACTGTTTTATGTGCAGTCTATCATTGGCTAAAATGTCATTATTAAGTGTATGACCATGTATAGCAATAATACAGTACTATCCTTGGCTTCGAGCATCCAGTGGGGGTCTTGGAAAGTATTCTGTGGATAAAGGGAAACTACTGTATTTCTTTCCTACATGCTCTGATAAGAATTTCTAGTACTGGGCCGGGGATTTAGCTCAGTGGTTCTAGCGCCTGCCTTGAAAGCGCAAGGTCCTGAGTTCCATCCCCAGTACCAAAAAAAAAAGAAATTCTAGTATTATGTTAAATAGAAGTGATGAAGTGAGCATGTACATTGTTCTTGATCTAACAGAAAAAGCTTTTAGTCTTTCACCACTAAGTATGAAGTTTGCTGTGAATTTTTCATGTATGATTTTTACTATTTTGAGGTACCTTCCTTCATTCCTAGTTTCTTGAATGTTTTTATTATGAAAGTATTTTGAATATTGTCAAATGCTTTTTCTACATCAATTTAAACAATCAGATGGTTTCTCCATTTGTTAATGTGGTATATGATATTGATTCGTTTTTCAAATGTTGAATTATGTTTGGTGGGCCTGGGGTTTAGGGTCCCCAGACCACCCTTACCATGCTTATCTCTCTTTCTCTGACATAGAAAGAGGAAGAGGAGTCAAAACAGAAGACCAGTACAATGTGAAAATAAAGTTTTTTTCAGAAGGAAGCAATACAAAGCCACTCTGGGGATTGGGGGCCCAGACCTGGGTCACTGCCAAACCTAGGACTGCATTCTTGTTTTATGGAGTAGGGGCTCCTTCCCCACCCACCTCCCACCCGAGGGTTCCTACTTGATTGGTTATTGGACTTGTTGCTAGGGGCCTAGATTTGGTGGGCTAATAGCAGAACTTGGGTAGGCATGGAAACCTGCACTAGGAAGGACAGTGCTGCCTGCACAGAAGCAAGTGTTAAAATCACAGGCTGTCAGCTTGGCTGCTCATTGTGATGAAACAGCAATTTACTTTCTACTTCTTAAAGGCCTCGGCTCCTTTATCTAACCCTACATAAGGGTCCCAACTTTCCCTACAGAACAATCCTTGCATTCCAAACTTAAATCCCACTTGGTGTATACACACGGTGTATAATCCTTTGATAGGCTGATTTTGGTCTGCTAGTATTGTTGGGGATTTTTACATCAACCTTCAAAGGGATTTCGTGTCTGTAGTTTTCTTGTAGTGTTTTTGTCTGGCTTTGATGTTGGGTTAATGCTCACCCCATAGAATGTTATCTGTTTTTTGGAAATGTGTGAGAAGGATCAGTATTAGTCCTCCTGTAAATGTTTAGTACAATTATCTAGTGAAGCCATGAGGTTCAGGGATTTTTTTTTCCTCCGCAGTTCTAAATTTCTGATTCAGTTTTGATGCTAGTATTCAATCTCATTACAGTTCTCTGGGTAGCCTTGGACTGATTCAGTTCTTCCCTTTGTCTTGCTTGTAGATCGCAAGAATACATGTAAAAGCAGGTGTGGTGGTGC